TGTTTGGACAAGTGGTGTTTGGATAAGTTGTGTTTGGACAAGTTGTTTTTGGACAAATTGCATTTGGACAAGTTGTGTTTGGACAAGTTGTGTTTGGACAAGTTGTTTTTGACAGAGAGACATTTCTTTGTCAATGTTTGTCCCCTATTTCTTAACCCCTTCGCGCCGGGAATTTCTTCCCGAAAGCTGACTCCAAGAATTCCAGCCGGGGGTCTGGCTTCTTTCACCGTGTTCACTCGAGCGTGGGCCGAGAATAATAGTTGAAAAGCAGGCTGAGGATCTCAATTTTTACGGCGTGTCTAGCCGCATCCCGGCGCAAAGGGGTTAAAAAGGTCTGCAGCAAGACTAATGACCGTAGAATCCCAACTCTGATTGCAGACATTGGTTCGCATGTGTGGAAGTACTAAGGGTGCACAAACCTATCACTTCTTGCCACAAAAGAAAAGCATGTGAGCACGACCAGACGCTGAAGACGTGAATGATACATATGAGATCTGTAGCTATTCACAGAATCCATCACCTGTGACCATATCCCACAAAGTAAGTCTTAAAAGCCCAAGTTTTTTAGTAATTTTGTTTTAGTTTCCATAAGAAAGAGCACACCGAGTTTTAGTTTCCATAAGAAAGAGCACACCGAGTTTTAGTTTCCATAAGAAAGAGCACACCGAGTTCTTTATTATTTTGTTGTGTCGCTCACTTTATGTGGGTGAGAAATGTGGAGGGTTCCTATTGGCTGATATTGTCTAAATTCTTTTAAAGGCCTTTCACTGAAATATGGATCTAGCCACTCATTTTGTTAAGTTGGGTCACATGTTACGTAGTTTTTCTTCCCCTCACCTCTGTCCAGTCGATGCAAGGCGGACGTAGAGCTGGTCCGTCTCTGGAACCACCTTCTGGACGAAGACTTGCTGGTCATCCCGGTCACCATAGGGCCCTGTAATAAACAAGACAAAGCATGTCACCAGAGATCCACCTGTCAGTTGTGCTTCACTGCAGTGAGGGGCGGGGTACATCCGTCTCACCGTTACCCAAAGAAGAATTTAAGCACATAAATCTTAGAATCACTGCTTCAGAGGTAACGCCTGTAACCAAAGACGAACTTTCTGCAAACTCTGGTCACCAGTACAACTTTTGTAAAGTCCATGGGAGGTGAAGGAGGGGATTGGAGCGGGAGGAGGTAGAATCTCACCGAAATTGTTTCCTGCGGCGTAGGTCGGGTGGAGGTCGGCTTCCTCCAAGGAGAGAATCTTGAAGGAGTTGAGGGGCGTGGAGCCGGGCTGCGTGGAGATCATGCCACGGAATCTGGTAACGTTCCAGGTCCGGACGTGGTTATACTCCTGGCAGACTGCAAGACAAAAACCATAAATTGTCGCAGGAGGAGATAAACCCCAAAAGATGATGTCTCTGCTGACTGGGAAAGATCTTTTCAAAACCAAGGTGACTGACAAAGAAGTCGTCCAGTTTTCCAGTCCATACTGATTCTATGTGTTCCCCCAGAATATCTAGCTGGGATTCTCCTCTCCCCTAGGGAGAACAGTTCATTGGTAGCTGACGGGGCCACCCTGGTAAAATGACAAATTAATGAAAGTACCTGAAATCAAATGCTTCTCGGACAGCATGACCTTAGAGATGGGGTTGCAGTGTACGGTGAACGTCTGGAAGAGTTGGGGCCCCTGACCAACTGTCTCTGGGTGCTGGACGATGACACGGACCTTACCAGAGATGGTACCATAGGCGATCTCAATCCAGTTACCAGTCAGGCCTGAGGAAAAATAACAACGCATCCATAAAACAGGTTTTGATAAAAGCCCATTCGTGAAAAAAAAATACTTCCTTGGAGATTTTCAGGAAAATCAAATTGATGCCTGAAAGACGACAGAAGCAGGAAGATAGAGATACTGCTAATAAAAGCATTTCAGCCCAATTATCTGAGCATTTCCGCAGAGAACTTTTCTCCGTTTTTCAAACTCTAATGCTGAGTAGATGCCAAGGTCGTAGTCTTTGTAATCTGGGGGCATCATGCTTCATGTGTAGTAACAATAGCTGGGACATGTGGATACCCGTGGATAAAGGACATGCACAGACATGAGATGAAAGAGTATGGACATGACTGGATAGGAGTGCAAAGCATGGACCAGTGGGTGAGTACAGGACAAGAACAAGATAATGCACCAATATGACCAAATATAAGGGGATCTGTGGATGTAAGTGGATAAAGGAGGTTATGTGGATGTAGGCAGATTTGAAGATGTGAAGATAAGTACAAGAAGATGTGGATATTAGAGGACCTGTGAATATGAGTGGATTACGTGGACGTGCGCATGTGGCTTAACATGTGATAACACCAGGATATTAGCAGATGCAAAATAGGTGGATATGAGTGGATAAAAGACATGTGGATATGAGTGGATAATGGACATGTGGATGTGGGTGGATATGAGAACATGTGGATATTCACAGATCAAAAAACTATGTGGAAATCAGTGGAGTGGAGAGAAGATACATGGAAAAAGACATCTATGTAATTGTCTGTGTGGATTTTCAATGAATTTTTACGTGAGGACTCACTCGTCTTTGGGGTAAGATAAACGCTGAGTGCTGTTACGGCATCGTTGCTTGGGTCACGGTAGAGTTCAGTGACCAGGAGGTCATTGTCCTTCATTCTTAAAGGAAACTTCTGCATGTCTGCCAAGAAGAGATAAAAAAATCATCCTGTGGCGTACGACAACAGGCTCTTCTAGCAGTCACTTTTTTCTCTCAGTAGATACAGGTGTATATTCCTCAATTGGAACCAACCGTAACTTGGGCTATATACTTGAATGAGTAGTTTACCTAAGAACTGAATTGAGTGGGATCTAGGCCGACAGGAAGGCCTCTTGAACAAAACCAGGGAGAGGAAGGAAAATCAACTTAACGTCCACAAGAAAAGTTGTAACACAGCGACTTTTGAGGACTTTTCATCGCTAAGGAGGCATGTGTTCTCACTAAAATGGCTATTATTAACCACATCGCGCTGGGGGCATTTGTGAATGTTGATGATGCTGGGACGGGATAATTTTCATTTTTTTCTGTTTTCAAATTCTTTAAAAATTCATATCTTCAATTACTGGACACTTCCACCCACACGAAGGACTGTCTGGTTTCTACTCTAATCTGACAGACAACATCTATTCACACTGAGTATTTCAGCCAGGCCTGCCGCCTTGTAAAAAGAGCCCAGATTATGCGGTGTTATATCATTTTCGTTTGTTCATGAGACTGGCTCAGTGCGCTGCTGACCTCTTTTCAGTAGGGGCCAGATTAGCATGCAACGGTGCTGTGTGGCTCATCGCTGTGGTGGTGGAGTACTTTTTCCCCCATTGGTAATCCGCTCGCTCTAAATGCTCCGAACTGTGGTATACTGTTTCAAAACAAGGCTGGATTATCTCCACTATTGAGAGTGAAAAAATGTCGTTAATGCCCAGCAGCCTGGTCTTTTGTCACGAGTATGGTCTTTTGTTACAAGGCCCAGTTCCCTTTGTCCGAGTTAGGGGACCCCGGCTACGCACATAAAGAATATGTGCCCGAAACCGGAGTCCCCGGCGGCAAGTGGTTAAGTAGATTTTGCACTGCAGAAAGTGACAAATCCTGCATAGTTAAACCTCTACATTTTGTAGAAGGGAGGGGGTAAAAATCCTAAAATATCACACCCTGCATTACATGTATACTGTAAAATTTGGCAGGCTCTAAAAATTACATCTTATAAAGCACTCCCACATTTATTAACTAAACAAAGAGGTATTAGGCATTGGTACTGTGTTTCGGAGGTGGCAGACTTGGCACTGACCTATGTAGTAGATGGAACCGTTGGTGCAGCCCAGTAGAAGGAAGGAACCCGCTGTGTCGTGGCTGGCGATGGCACACATCTCCTGGGTCTGGAAGTCAACGGATTACAAATAATCAGAAGAGTGGAAATAAAGATCGTTTTTATTTTCAACAGTCACTAGCATCCCCTTCCCCCCCAAAAAACCTGCAGCGTTATTATTCAGAAGGAAACACCATTCCGCACTGAGAGTTTGGTAACGGGTGGTACTCATATTGTGCTTTATACCCAGTAGTCCGAAAGCGCTGCGGAATTACTACCACTGTTCACTGGATCAAAGGATCTGCAGGTATTACCATTTGTGCTCCTCGGTGGAGAGAAGCAACTGTAGTAAAGTGCCTTGCCCAAGGAACATGACCATCATGGTACCCATGGGTTCAAACCCACATACCACTGTAAACACAATACCCAAATCCCTAGACCAGCTTTTCCCAGGATGCATCATAAACACTGCACTGCGAATGATTCTACTGTGGGTCTTCACGGGACTCCATATACCTGCCAATGTTGCGTGACGGCGTGCCAGACACCAACTTTGCCCGTGTGGCTAGTAGCGACCAGCTGACTGCCGATGAAGAACAGAGAGTCCACATGCACTGCTAGATCAAAGGTACCTAGGCAAAGACAAACACTGGGCTTACTCTTTGCTTACATGCTATGCCCCATATTACGTATTTGGAAGAAACACGACCCCCTTTCCACAGAAGATTCCGATCTCCCAACCTCGTAAGCGAAATGGTAATAAGAAAACTCTGTCCCTTCTAGGCCAAAGCTAGAGGGGGCTTCTTTAAAAAATCCTTCTCACAAAACGGGACAGATAGGGTGTATTTTCTTCCACCTCCCTCAGGATCTCAGCTGTCCCATGACAGCTATTTCTGAGGCACGACACACAAAGGTATGGGAATAAGAACAATGTGACCCAACCAGACCCAATGAGTCACAAGTCGCAAGAGACACTTTTGGGTCAAAGGCTTTTAAAAGAACAACGTGACCCTCATTATACCCCCTTTTCACCAGAATGCCAGAGTAATACATCAAAAAAAAGAACATAGTTTCCTTTTTTTTTTAACGTGCATTCAACCAAATTACTGACAAAAATAGCCTGAAGACCCAGTTGTGGGAATTAATCTCTGCACACCCCCCCCCATTACTGGGGACAGTGCTTGACTGACGACTAAGCCACCCCCCTTCGCCTCCAAGAAAGTACTCACCCACTTGACTGCGACTGCTCTCGTCCTGGCAGCTCCACAGCCGGATCTGGCTGCCGTAGGATACGGCCACCATCTTCTCCTTGCCCTCCGACTGGCTGAGGGGCACCCGGGAGTTGAGGGCCACCCTCTCAATAGTCCGCTCCAGGTAGGGGGAGGTGAAGACCAGCTGCCAGCCTGTGGACTCCTTGATACGGTAGCAGCAGACAAAATGGGCATAGGCCAGCACGATCCAGTTGTGGTGGCCGGCAACGATCAGGACCCGGCGGGGGTCGGTGCAGGCTTCTGCAGAAATAAGGATGAGAAACCGATGAAACTAAATGCCCTGCATCTGTGCTGTTAGTTTTACCCTTTTTGGAACTGACAAAGTCCTCTTCTTGTTGCACACTGTCCGACAGTCTCCTACCAAAGTCCTGTCATGACAAGGACTACAGTCAAGCACTCAGTCAAAACGCGAGCCTCGGAGTACATTAATTTACAAGCTGCATCTGACAAACATGATCATTTTAGCACACCAAGTTCTTGAAGATGAAAACTCAAACACTTGTCCCTCCAATAATAATTTGACAGGTAACTTAAGCAAATTAAAAAGCACGTGAGCTGAATGTATGAGACGACAACTTTGGGATGGTCAAGTAATACTCAGCTAGAGTATGGATTAACGTCACCAGAGAAATTCACTGACACCGGTGTTTGTACAAACTAATATACATGTGAAAACAATAAGACAACTGAAACTCCTTAGCAGGGTTGAGATGGGGAGAGAAATCCTGTAAACACCCAGCTGAGAGGTTTTAACAATAACAACATATTACAACTTCTAATGGTTCTTAACAGGTAAACACACGACAAAAAGTGAGTTCTCTCCCAAGAGACTATGATTATGTGAATCTTGCAATCTCCTACAAAGTGCAAATAAAGTACCAAAACCATAACAGTTCAAAATCCCTAGAAATTCAGGGAGTTCAAAACAATTCTGAAATCCAGAGAAAAACCTGATAAATTGCTCGTCTGCCATGGGTGCTGGGAATCTTCCAGAAGCCTTTCAAAATCCTCCACTGTTCAGGAACCCAGAGGCTCGGCTCTAGCCCCAGACCCAAAACTTTCCAAGGAAGAGGTCAGTGTTCAAGATTTCCAAACTGTGCACCCACCGAGTGGCATATCCAAGTCAGCCCTCGCTATCCGGGGCTCGATGGCAGAGGCCGGTCTCTGGCTGGATTCTCTGAGCGAGGCTCCCCGGGCGAGCGCCGGCCTGGGTCTGGTCTCGGCCTCCACCGACAGGCTGTGGCGGTGGTCACTACGCTCTATCCTGGGCGGGAATGCTGCAATCGCAACATCACATGTCGATTATCGCTACTTTCTCTATAACATCCTTTGCACAACTTGTATTCTAAAGCTCCGTTGATTGGACAAACCAAATATGAACAGCACAGGATTCAAGGCAGATAAAAGTGCATTCCTCAATTTAATAAACCATTTGATGTTTAAAACAGAAGCAAAAATAAATCAAAACTGTTCAGGATGAGCCAAACAGCATCTCTATCCCACCTCTTAAAAATCACACTCCTTCGTCTCAGGGATATTCAGAATTAGGTTACATACGTGCCCGAGTATAGTAAGCAAAATAAACACATCCCACATGCAAGTCAAGTGGCTCTAGGAGAACAAGCAGACCACTTACAAGGAGGAGGCAGCATGCCGTGGAAGAGAACGTTACCGCAGGAAGACCTCTCCAGATCCTCACACAGAGCCAGGTTCTTGACTGTCCCAAGCAAATAAACAGTGGAAATAATACAGTTTTTAAAGCGACAAATTCAATTACAATTGAATTACAATACAATTGAATAAAAAAACACAGTATATAGAGTCCTGGCAAAAAAAAAACCAGGTGAATCGTTAATCTAACTTTGCCTAATCAGAGAAGCCTGTCTAGAAGCATGTTACATTTAAACCTGGAAAAAAGTGTTTTTCAAATGGAACCTCGGAAGTGTTGAACACTCCCTCCATTTAAAAAACCATTCATAAATACCTCAGACAGATTCCTATTCAACAATGTGCAACTTTACTGTGCATTAAGAATTGATAATGCCCGCTGAGAAGTGATAATGCTTGCTGCGTAAATCATGCACTGGCACCAGGATACGAGACAGTTTAATCGATTCTGATTGGTCAAGAGTCTGAGTGCACGCGGCTCGCCACGCATGTACCACGACCACACAAGGAGATTCTACTGGACAACTTGCAAAAGGAATACATAAAATAGACAGGGGTGTTCGGGAAAATGGAAGTAAAAATCTAGAACAAAATCGTTTGGAAATCCATCATATTTTGATTTTCTGACTGAAAAGGTATTTATGAATGGCAATAAATATGTGCTTGGTCAGTCTTAAATTAATGTTTAAGACCAGCTCAGGGGACTGTACGTTGATAATGTCCAAGCCACGTCGAGTCCATCTTCCTGAGCCAAGACTTGCCAAGCACATGATTATTCCCTTATTACTAACACGAGGAGCTATTTTTAAAAACACTGACAATTAACAGTTGATTATTTGCATGGAATATTGGTCAGTAATTCACAAAGCCTCAAAGTCTTGTCAAATGGAACCAACAACACAAGACACAAATACACAATCACTCATTGGTCCTTCGAGGCTACAAGTCTGGTACCTGCACTTACCCAAAGGTGAAATGCCGTAGAACTCTGCTTCATGCCGTAGTGCCTGTATGTCCACCCCCTTGAGATTTAGTTCCTTGGTACGCAGGTAATTGAGGATGGTTGCAAAGACTGTCGGGTCTCGATCTATGAAAATCTGAAAGAGATGGCAAACCAAGGAAGTCAGACCACCACATTTTAAGGCAGCAAACTCCTTAAATTGGTCTGTCTGAGGTTTTTTTATGGTGAACCCTTGGAAATAAATTTCAATGCTGATATTCAACTACATCATGTTCAGTAATGAGCCATTTGAATGAAACATCAAAAGAAAACAACTAGTCCATGATAAATGACAGCTTTAGTGCATTTCAAAATATGAATTCCAAACACCTTCGCATTTGGCCAGGCAACTGACTAACATGCCAATGTCGCAGTTCTTTGGTAGGTGTGGCAAGGAAAGAAGATAATGTATACAGGAAAATGCTTATTTTACAATGGCATGCAGTGCATGGGACTTAAAAGCTGGAAATTGGCCAACCTACTTTCTCAAACTTAAAACCAGGAAATTTGACACACATTCATGATTCAATTGGGAACACAAATTTTTACGTCCTGTTCTGTGATTAAGAATCCACCCAACGACTCATGCCTCAAACAATCAATGGGAGATATCCCTATACAACACTTGAATATGTCCCTGTTGTATGAATTATACGTTGTATTGAATGGTGCAGTAACTATTCAGATCTTAGACCAAGGTGGGGGACAACATGAATTCTTTTTTCCCAAAAATTATTGCTACATTTTCTTCTTCTTTTCTTTAAAATAATTCTCACCCCTGCAAAGAAAAAGGTGACGGTACTGTGTTTAGAATTCTGGCACTTGCAATATAATTCCAAAAAAACCACTGGCAACATGTCTCCAAGGAGCGATTTGTCCCCTCTTCCCCTCGCCCCTTTGGGACACGCCACTGGCATGGACAGTTACACCAAAATAGAACACTTACGAGTACAGTGCTCTTTGGCAATTTTCTAACACCTTTCCTGTAAATGGATCAACGACAATACTTTTACATGTCCTTGCGACTGAAACTATCCATCTCAGTGACAGCTCTGGACTCTCCAAGTTCACACTGAGCTAATCCCTCCCCTTCAAAGTACACAATTTGGTTAGGATCGAGCGAGTGTGGTCGATACAAGTGGAATGTTGTCTATAAACTCGCATCTCCTCGGTCTCGTCCTCCTAACCCGAGTAATCTGACTCAACTCTTCACGTGCGGCAAAGTAAAACTACACATTGAGCACTGTGGTCATCCAAGAGTGCTTTCTGGGTGGGTAACAAATTAACCCAGCACAGTTTCTTCATTTACAGTTTGGGTTTACAGTTTAGACGGCCCTTTCTCCACGGATGGGAGAAGCAAAACTTCCTGGACATACTCACTGCTCCTTCTTCATCTTTGACTGAAGGAATGCGGCCACTCGTCAAGCTGTGGAATGAGGAAGAAATGAACAATTCAATGATTGTTGTGTTTGTTCCAACACAAAGTAATGCAAAACATGCTGGGGATGTTTGCTTACATATATGGTTTCTTGACATACCGCAGTAATAGACTGAGTGAGACATGGCATTTTGGTAATTCCAGAAATTAGGTGTCCTTTTTTTTTCCATGTCCCTGTCACATCTGACATGTGATTTTGTAAATTCAGAACACATTTTCTAATTTCCAAGAGTGATGAATCAATGAAAATTACCTACCAAACAAATAGCAATACTTTGAAATCAATTCCGGGATAATTCCAAGTCAGATAACAAAGGTCAGATGTATCAGGGACACAAAAATGTCACACTTTTGGACCCCTTATTTCTGGAATAACCCATTTGCAAAACTTGCAAAATACCACAACTGAGAGTAACCATGCATTGTTATACAGCCTACTGAGCACCTAAAGGGCAAATACATAACTTGAACGGAGAGTGAAACAGCAGATATCTACTGATGGTTTTCAAAAAATAATTGATTATACACCAGTGGGGGTGAGTTTGTTTCTGCANTACAAAACATATTGGTGGTCTTCTAAAACAGTTAAAGTACAAACAAAAGAGGAACAATAGGGGGTCCCCAGTTGCAGGCAAATACACACTTGTGTGGGTGTTGCCAGGACTTTTTAATGGGGTAGGGGGGTGCAAAGCTCTCATCAGCATCAAACTGAAAACCAATACAGGTGGATGGGAGCTGATTCTAAGGCCTTTTCATGCACGTTAGTTATTTTAACCCCCCCTTTCTTCTCTTTTCTTTTGTTTCCATCTTTTTATTTTTTTCCGGGGGGGGAGGGAGAGAAGTACCTCCCCTGATGCCCTCATCAGTTCAAACAAGTGAAGACAACTGTGTCGTTAACATTCAAATTAACACAAAAGCAGTATTAAACACAAATCACTAGGCCTAAATGCTACTATCGTTTCTATAGGAAAGTTTTGTACCTGCAGAAAAAGGAGTCTGGGATGCATGTCAGCGTTTGCTTCGATGTTGAAAACCTGTTGAGGAAACAAACTAGTGTGTTAAGTTTTGGCTTGAGTTATGATGCACCCCTTGCAGATGACAAATAAGTGACATCAGTGTTGAAAATGGTAACTATTTAACCGTTGCAGATCTCCAGTACAGAACTATTTGTTTCACTCTCTGACACCAAACACAACCTTGATACGCTCATCACTGTAGCAACCACATTTTGTCAGCATCTTTCTTCAGAGGTGTGCATTTTGCTAATATCCGGTCACACATAATTTCTTTTTCTTTTTAAAATTGGCACGACATTGATACTATACAATTGCTCGATTCCCCCTGCTGGAGGTGACTGAGCCATGGCCCTACGGTTATTGGTGGACTTTGAGAGCAAACAAACAAGTTGCAAATTATCTTCCCCCAATGAACAAAAATCCCAGTTTCTTCTTATTACATTTTGAACTGAATTCTAAGTTAAATTGCAGGATATTTCACTTTTGCTTGAGATGAGTGGTTCTGGAAGATTTTTTTAGGAGGTCAAAAGTTTGAAACTGCAACGGGTCTGAATTCCATCTTATGATATGAACTCACAATGACTACGTAAGAAGGGATCCAGACAAAGATTTATCGTGCTAAAATGTCTAAATATCCAACACACTCACTGTGCATGTTCAGTTATCCTTGCCTGCAAAAAAAAAGGCAGATGCACATCACCGCCATTTCAACAACCCCCAGAACTTTGGGGTCCAACGTCCGCTCCGCTCCCATGAGGGAGTTTTGGGGGTACATTTCAACATCAACTTTCCATTCATACAAAGGGCCAACATGTCATCTTGTCCATTTCAAAATTGTTATTTTGCACAGATGGAGGGCGGGCGGTTCGCATGCAATTTATTGATGTCTGATCCTTGTCTTAACAACCTGTGTAATTGAGCCAGGATTCAAACTCATGAACAAATAGTTGTTTACATGTCAAAACCTGGCACTAGCATGACTAGTAAAGATGATTACGATTATGCCTCCTTATGCCGTCAACAATTCCCTCCACTTCTCCCTCTACAGCACTGGTACAGAGACGTATCCTACATCATTTGACTGATTTTGACTGACAGGAAAACTTTGTCATGTTTGTGCAGATGGCATCTTTGCCAGTGGTGTGAAGTTGGTTACTTATTCCTTGTTTGACGTTCGACATTCAATATTGAACTAGGAACTGTTTGATATTCAACATTAACCCTAACCCCCTGGGGTGTATATAAAATCATATTGAAATCGGAGGATTTGGGACTGTTGAGGCTATTAAGTAACCGTTTGCCATTCAGGATGCACATCTCTAAAAGTGATGGAGTGCAAAAGGAAAAGAATAAATAACTGTGCCAACTACATTTCAGGGCTTGTTTGACCCAAAAATGCCCATAACCAAGGTTGCAAGGAGTCAACAATGATTGACAACAATGACATCAGATTCAATGTAATCTCCAGCCACGGCATGGGGTTTGGGTATTTTATTTCAATTTCAGAAAAGTGCGGTGTGATGCATTCACTTTCCCACTCTGGTGTGCAAGTGAAGAACTCAACTGACAAGACATGTTAATTTCGTCAAAGCCGTTTTGACCGTGGAATGGAAGCAATAGGGTCAAGCACTTGAAAAAAAAAGGAGGTTTAGAGCCAGGGCATGGGATTGATATATATCATTTTGATTGGCGGAAGTAGTTCGTTGAAAACAAGAAGTATATAAAATAAATATTGTATACACAATGCCCTAAAAAAATGGTCACCTACATGTATATTCAGGGCTTGTTGGATCCCAAAGAACTCCATGCCCTAGGTTCCCTCTATGGGAGAGAGTTGTTTGTGCAAAAATCATTGTGAAATGATTTTCATGGTATGTACAAATTGAGTTCATGTGAATGGATGTGCATGGTGGCAGAGTGTTTTTTTGTCCCTAGACGGTGGGCCCTTTTTCACTCCATTTCTAGGGGTGTGCACAAATGGTTACTTATTCAACATTCGAATATCAGACGGTTACTTGTTCAACAATGAATGTTGAACGTTGAACGAGGAACTAACTTCACATTGGTCATCTTTTATTTCATTGCCATGGCAAGCCATGGTCATGATGGTGTTCGCCGTAGGCTGGGGAGGGCCGGGCAGGGGGATTTTAGTAGGGCTATGAGGCCTAAACAAAATGCTTGATAAACAAACCCCTAAGATTAAGAAACATTATCGATTTATTTTTCACTTTGGATAGCAAGGCCTAGTATTACTAATAAAAATACTAGTTTTGTTCTGAATAATTTCTCGAATCATTCCTAATGTCCGAAAACTGGGCGCTCGGCCATGTTACATGACGTAGGCCTAGACTAACATTTCCTCGACTATTTTACCGTAGGGCCTACCTTGCTCCACCAACATTCAACTTTATGATCTCTCCCGAAGACCCCGTTGTTCCAAACAGGCCATACATACTTCAGAAGATGCCACTTTACAAGTTGTGTCTGTCTCAGCTTTTGCTCAACTAACGTTACGCACAGAACTTTGGCACTCAATATATATCACGCGGCCCCCTGACGTTTGAAAAGGGGCATTCCATTAGTCTCCAAACGGGTGTAAATGAGCACCCGACTGGTTAGCCTGCGTCTATTTTTATCCCGTGATAAATAAAAATGCGGCATACGCCCTTTACACTTTGGTCGACGCTGGCCATCGTCCCCCAAACTTTTCCCTTCCTTCTCGAAACAAAGCTGTTTTTAATTCAGAATTGCAGGAAATTGCAGAAAATGTCAAATAACCTTCAAGTTTTGTGGACTCTTAGAAACACGCAAATAGCACTCGTACACAAAAATGGCTGTGGGCCTACACACTGTCTCAAGTGATTGCTTCTTGAACTTTTTCCTTAAAGTGGAACTGGCTGATGAAATATTTGACATCATAAATACATTATCGGGTGGTTGAGCAATGGATAACTTTACGGGATGAACAAAAGTACAGAACTGTGACATAATTTAGTCTGTAATCATTATCAATAAAAAGGGTGGTTGGTAACTGTGGCCTATCTTTGGTGATTCTACAGGGGTGGATCCAGGGGGCATGGGGGCGCACGCACCCGCCTTTTCACCTAAAAAACTAATGAATAAAGAAGAAAATGCGGGAGGGAGAACAAAAGAGGGGCCACGCTGCCTGAAATTGCACCACAGAGCGCCTAGAGTCCAATCCAGTACTAGAATCCCTCCAGCGGGACCCGTACCGCACACCGTAAGGGCTTCGTGCTACCCGCTCGCGGGCATTTTACCATTGCTGCTTAAGTTCACGCCTCCTCCCCTTTAGAAAATCCTGGATCCGCCTCTGCTCTGTATTTCAATTTTGCTTGTCATTTGCATCGATTTCGGTGTTTTTGATTTCAGAACATTGTGGCGTTTTATCTGCGGACATTTTCGAAAAAGGTTGGACCAAGAATATTATTTCTGGAAGGCACACTTTTTGCGGGCGGGGGATGGTGGTTTTCAAATCAGTGTGAATTTCTTTATAAACCTTTTAGGGCTTTTCTGATGGTGGGGTAACATTTTGGAGCACTTTAATTGCTTTGAACTGAAAGGGAAATAAAACTTCCCCCAAACCTCTTTCCTTCTTTATGCCCTCCGAAAGAATTGCCTTTTTTAGGCGGGCTATGTTCAAAATAGGTCCCCCGTGAAGGGCCGGACTTTCAAAAGGCAAAGTACACAATACCCCTTAGGCCCACCCAAAGATCAAAAGATAAACAAACAAGCAAACAACCCAACAAACTAAAACAAACAAAAAAACAAACAAACAAACAAACAAACACCCCACCACCCCAACAAACAAACAAACAAACAAACAAACAAACAAACAAACACCCCAACACCCCAACAAACAAACAAACAAACACCCCAACAAACAAACAAACAAACAAACAAACAAACAAACAAACAAACACCCCAACAAACAAACAAACAAAACAAAATGCTGCGGCCCAAAAGAAACGTGAGAGCCCTTAAAGATAGGCTACGACAGACAGAGTGTTTCTCTCTTGGAATTTCAGTTCACTTGGAAAAGCTTCAAAATGCATGTTATTATAAGCACAGCTTACAATCAACATTCTATGAATTGTACAGTACATCAAAGTCTCTGGGAAGTCCAAAATATTGTTCACAATCCGCTGTATTTTTCGGAGTGGAGAGGAGGGTTGAATAACCCATCCCCCTTAACTCAAAAGGTGGGGGATATACATGTAGGCTATACCCCACGGGATTTACGCCATGGAGGCATACAGTATGCCATGGGACACGTCATAGGGCTCTGACACCTTCAAACTGCAAGGGGGTGGCGGGTGGGGAAGGACATGTGACTTTCCTTCGACCGTGCTCGTGTGTCATTGAAGTGGTATCTCATCGCAGCAAGATTATCGGTTTAATTCTCTACGTGAAACCCTAACCTAACCTAACCTAACCTAACCTAACCTAACCTTACCTAACCTAACCTAACCTAACCTAACCTAACCTAACCTAACCTAACCTAACCTAACCTAACCTAACCTAACCTAACCTAACCTAACCTAACCTAAC